AAACAATAACAAAAATAAATATAAACATTATCGATGAATCAATGTTAAAATCAAAGTTATGGAAAGTAGAATATCGATTTATTTGTTTTGTTATTAAAAACAAAAAAAAAACGAGATATCGTAAATAATATTATCAGCATTCCGCTAGGACCGAATTCTTCTTGGAAACATAATTCTTAAAACCCGACGGTTTAGCTGCGTTCCATTGAGATCTCAACACATCGCAGGAGAACCGCTTATTATTGGATCTTAATAATCTTCTTTTCATACGCCTATGAATTCATCGACGTCACTTGCGGATCCAGGATTTAATTAGGGGGGGCCTTCACTACCTATATTAAAGGGTATTTAAGTGATTCATAAATTCCTAATAAATGTAATTAAACGAATAATAGTACTTTAAGAGATAATTTTTTTTACATAAAATATGGTCGCATTTCACCATTTTGGGAGGGGGAGGCTTCAGCCCGAAAGCCCCCCCCCCTCACCGTAGATTGGCCTGTGATCGGCGTAAATAAACCCAAGGCGATGCATAGAGAACTCGAAAGCTGACTTGAAAAATAATAATAATGTAAAAAATATGTAATTTAAACTGAATACCACAATACGCATTAATCAATGTTCGGTCCTATCTTGTCCTAATTAGAACTTTACACACAAATATATATATATATATATATATATTATAAACAATATTTTTAGTGACTGTTTTATATTTTATTTTAGACGTACAAAAAATCACCAGAAATAATTATAATAATATAAATTGACAATAAGGCGCGATGTATAATATCGATTTTTTAATTAATTAAAAATTTACCTCTAATACAGTTGTAAATTTCAATAAATATATTAATAAAAAAAAAAGTTGTCCAAACTGTGGTTTCGTTTTGTTTATTTTATATTGATAACCAAAAAGAAAAAAAGAACAATCTGTGCCACAGAATACATGTAAATTATAGTCATACAATTTGAACAATGAATAGTACAATTAAATGAACGGTTGTATAATTTGTAAAATAGGGATTCGTTCACCGTTAGGTGGACAGTACTGATTAAAGCTGAGAACAATGCGAAATTATTTTTTTTTATAAATCAATATTAAAATCCATGATCATCAATAATGTATTTTTTCATTCATACTTGTATAACTCTTTTTTAAAATTATTGCCATGTTTAAAATATAAATATTTTGCGTAATATAAATTTATTTGAACGTATACCGAAAGAAAAAGGAAACAATACATACAAATTTAATGAATATGATCAAATATTACTAGTAAGATATGAATAATGTATTTGTATATTAAACCATGTAAATTATTATTATTAATAAAATTAATCACTTAATCACAAAATAAGAGTTACTAGACTAAAGGGTATATGAAAATGCCAAACCTATAATTATTCTGGCATTTATAAATTTGGAAATATGCATCTAAAATAAGAAATAGTAAATAAAACGAAGATGAGAACTGCTGCAAAAGGAACTGAGAGAAAAATCTTAGGAGCAGTCCTCAATGGTAAAAACACCAGAACAGCCTAGTATGTGTATCTGCCCTGTCAAAGGGTGTTCAAAAAATTTGTGTGATCCAAAAAACTTTCACACGTATTAAAAATGTGAAAAATTGTTATTATCAGTAAAAAATGAAAATTTTTAATCATTTAAACCATGCCGGTTTTTTTTTTTTTTTTTCCATTCCTGACTTTATTCACTTATTCATGAAATTTACAACTGTATAAAAATAAATATAAATTCAGTAAATATGATATAGAGAAATACAATGGCAAAAAAAGACTTGTAGAGAATCTATTCATTGGTAACACTCTAGGCCATCTTCTTTTTAGATGCGCCGGGGAGCTATCAGAATCTTGAAGAGGAAGCAAGGTTAGAAACAAGAGGATTAGGATGGTTCTGAAGTTTATTATGGAAGGGTCGGTATCTGGATTCTGACTGTCGAGCACGTGGTCGCGACCTGCACTGCATTCAAAGGAATAAGGGCAACAATGATGAGAACCGGGAGAATTTACATCCTAACAGAGGATGAACTTCCCTCGGTTCAAGGAAATTATTTATGGCTGGAAGGAGGTAGTGGGTCCAGCCCACTTCAACATTGGAGTACGGAGAACAGGACCGCCAGCCACCAAGAATACCGCCGGAAGGCGGTCACCTTTGATCAGAAGTCACCCAAGATCACAGAAGTCACCGAAAACACTTGTAAACTGTTTCACTTGCGTGTGTTGTTATGCAGTCATGCATAACACACTACAACTACAAACGCCCGTATAACCCATTAGGGGTGGAATATAAATAAATATAAATCTGGATAGTGCCAAATAGAAAATATATGGAACATTAAGGTCGTTATGGATGAGTTTATTAACAAAGTAAGCAAATAAAACTTCAGATCCATCCAAATCCTCTCGTTTCTAACCTTGTTTCCTCTTCCAGATCCTCATAACTCCCCCCCCCCTTTCCGACTCCTGAGGCGTCTGAATAGAAGATGGCCTTGCGATCTCCTAATTTAGATACTTCATTAGAGTACTACCAATGGGTAGATTCTCCACAAATTCCTTCATGCCATTTTTTTTTTTTTTTTTTAATGAAAAATAGCATTAAGTGGAATAAATGTGCTTTTTATTCCAGTAAAAATATACCCTCAGAGCTTGTTTCTTTAAATAATAATTATCAAATAAATGATTAAAACAATCTTACTCATTTAATTTTAATTTTATTACTTTTAACATATATATATATATTTTTTTTTTTTAATTCACTGGCTGTGAACTCCCCTTGAGAGCGTAATCTAGATAGTTGAACTATGGGTAATATAACTTTATTGAAGTTGGAGCAACCTACTAAGTCAGCTAAGGCTTGACTGAGAGCAGGTGCAAGAGGTTGTAAACACGGGCAGAGGGGAGGGCACAGTACTATAGTACTATGGACTACACTATAGTATAGTATCCCTCAATCCCCACCCTTAAACCCTCGCTCCAGTCCTAGGGGTTAGAAACGTGAACTGCTGGTTACCAAATACCATTTGACAGATCTCTCCAAACGGGGACAGATCATTTGCGGATTCTCATATATACGAATTATATAAATTGTATATGTACAATTCCTAAAATACTAATTTTATTCATTTATTCGATAATTATTGTTTCAAGAAAATAGCTCCTTGGGTATATTTTTACTGAAATAAAAAGTTACATTTAGAAGTATTTGTTATTAAAAATAAACAAAAAAACTGTAATAAAATATTATAAATCTCAATAATCACATCATACAATAAATCTTAATCAACGCGAATTTATGTATGCAGTAGAAAATGAAAATACATTCAAATTTAATATTTTAAAATTATGTGAATAAGATAATTTTTTTCATTAAGCATTTAACCTATTTCTTTACCGTCATATATTTTATTATTAATAATTCCTGGTTGTAGTTTTGGGGCGACACTCCCCGTACTAACTGTTTATATTTTAACATTTTTTTTATATATAATTATAATTTAGACGTGTACCTTGTAATTATAAATTATTAAAGTTAAGTCATTTTTAGAGTCAAATAATATTGTAATATTGTCAATAGCAAATAATATTGTAAATCTCAATATAGTTATTAAGTCAAAATTAATCAAATACATGCATATATATAATAAATTAAAATCTAGTCAACAATTATTATATTTGTAGAATAGTACACGGATTTGCACAGATTATAGAATAAAAATGAACTAATAAATCGTAGTAAACGCGAATCTACGTATTTATGACCGTAGAAAATAAAAATATATATTCAAATTTAATATAAATTATATGAATAAAATTATTTTATTAATTAAAAGAAGAATAGTTGGGGTGATCAGTAAAAAATATAAAAAATGATAATATTTATTATGCTTACTTCATCATTCCACACTTTGTAACGGTTATTATTATTTATCTCTTAGTTCTTACTATTGTCATTATTCTAACAACTTCATTTTACTTTATTATTTTTTTTTTTACCATCACTACTTATGTTTCTCATGCCTCGTTATCTGGTTATTTTCTTAGCCCTGATGAAGCACCTGAACTTCAGGTCGAAACGTCGGCATATGTAAAAATAAATATTATCATTTATTTTTGCCTTCTTTTTTGACTGATCACCCCAACTATTCTTCTCTTCATTATCCACGACAGTCAGCCATTTACCAATTATTTAATTAATTATTATTGAAGAAAAATTAATAAAGAAAATATTATAACATTGTATCAATGAATAGGTTTCTATTTTCCTTTTATATGGAGAAATATTAAATTAGGAATCAAATAATCAAATTATAATAGAGATCACAATATTTACAGAAAAAATATATAAATAACGTAAATAATAGCAATATAATCCATAGAAATAAGAACAAAAAAAATTGAAACTAAATTTTTCTGTAAAGGTTTAACAAAACTTTTATCTTTAAAAAGCTTTTATTTAAATGTTCTGTTGATTTAACCAAAAAAATCGACCAAGAAGATTACTTTTATTCTACTAATTCATTTAAAATTAAATTATAACTATAATATATCTAACTGAAAATGGAAAAAATTAATGTTTATTTCTCATTTGATAGAACTGTTCTTAAGAGCTTAAATAAATAAATGTTAAACTTTTATCACAAACTGTTCATATCGATAAACAGGAAGGATATGTTTCTTAGATACTTAAAAAAAATGTAAATAGCAACATTTTATTTTTTTTAAATTTGTTATTTGATTGAAAATAATTCGATAAAGAAATTCATTGATAATCGGCTAGGGGTAGAACGAAGAGAGAGGGGTTAGCTCAACAAGTTAGCATCTCTGACAACTCCTGTCACGTGCTCCTCATCTCGCCGGACGTCAATGGTAAACATGAATGGATGGAAAATGGACTTGAATAATGTAAATAATATTTAAATTATTGAAAATAGGTGATTTTATATGAAATCGCTATATGGTAATATAAGTGTCATGTTTACCTCCAACATCCAAGTGGTGATGATCTTCCTCATGTATGGCTCGACGAGTTTCTGTACAGTCCCGAAGCATCTCTTGGGGGTGTACTTGGGCTCGAGGAAGAGGAGATTGGCGAGGACCCTCGGGTCGCCGTAGATGGCCCTGTCGTAGATTGCGGTGGGTGCTGAGTTGACCATCTCGCAGCAGAAGAGCTCCATGCGTGAGTGCCGGCTGCCCGGGGATAGCACCTGCCATCCCCACTCCCGCCATCTGCCCGTCCCCTCCTTTCAGCTATTTTTTTTTTCCCTTACCTATATCTCCTCCGTAGGTAGGTGGAAGTGCCGTAACCCTTAGGAATTGAAGGTGCTCGGTAGGGGGGGGGGGGGAGGTATATGGTCCGATCGAAATTTATAACTATTTAAGTTTATTCAGAATAGAATAGAATAGAAAATAATTTTACAATACAAAAAAGTACAAAATTAAAGTATCATATATGGCCTAAATAAAAACAAACATAAAAAGTAAAAAATTAAGAAAAAAAAGTAAAGAAAATCTTAGTTAAACATACTATGTACAAAATAAAAAAAAATCTATATACAAAACACTTTAAACCATGCCAAGACACTTAAAACTATGTACAGTGGTAAAATATAAGTATACACTTAAAAAAAAATAAATAAAAAATACATTATGGGTGATAAATATTCAGGACGCAGTCTTTTTTAAATTTATTTAGAATAGAAAATAATTTTATTCTGGGACGAAGTCCATTTAGAATAATAAAAAAGTACATAATTAAAGTATCGTATCTGGCCTGAATAAAAAACAAACATAAAAAGTAAAAAATAAAGAAAAAAAAAGTAAAGAAAAAAAAGTAAAGAAAATCTTAGTTAAACATACTATGTACAAAATAAAAAAAATCTATATACAAAACACTTGAAACCATGCCAAGACACTTAAAACTATGTACAGTGGTAAAATATAAGTATACACTTAAAAAAAAAAATAATAAAAAATACATTATGGGTGATAAATATTCAGGACGCAGTCTTTTTTAAATTTATTTGGAATAGAAAATAATTTTATTCTGGGACTAAGTCCATTTAGAATAATAAAAAAGTACATAATTAAAGTATCGTATCTGGCCTGAATAAAAAACAAACATAAAAAGTAAAAAATAAAGAAAAAAAAGTAAAGAAAATCTTAGTTAAACATACTATGTAAAAAATAAAAAAAATCTATATACAAAACACTTGAAACCATGCCAAGACACTTAAAACTATGTACAGTGGTAAAATATAAGTATACACTTAAAAAATAAAAATAAAAAATACATTATGGGTGATAAATATTCAGGACGCAGTCTTTTTTAAATTTATTTAGAATAGAAAATAATTTTATTCTGGGACGAAGTCCATTTAGAATAATAAAAAAGTACATAATTGAAGTATCGTATCTGGCCTGAATAAAAAACAAACATAAAAAGTAAAAAATAAAGAAAAAAAAAGTAAAGAAAAAAAAGTAAAGAAAATCTTAGTTAAACATACTATGTACAAAATAAAAAAAAATCTATATACAAAACACTTGAAACCATGCCAAGACACTTAAAACTATGTACAGTGGTAAAATATAAGTATACACTTAAAAAAAAATAAATAAAAAATACATTATGGGTGATAAATATTCAGGACGCAGTCTTTTTTAAATTTATTTAGAATAGAAAATAATTTTATTCTGGGACGAAGTCCATTTAGAATAATAAAAAAGTACATAATTAAAGTATCGTATCTGGCCTGAATAAAAAACAAACATAAAAAGTAAAAAATAAAGAAAAAAAAAGTAAAGAAAAAAAAGTAAAGAAAATCTTAGTTAAACATACTATGTACAAAATAAAAAAAATCTATATACAAAACACTTGAAACCATGCCAAGACACTTAAAACTATGTACAGTGGTAAAATATAAGTATACACTTAAAAAAAAAAATAATAAAAAATACATTATGGGTGATAAATATTCAGGACGCAGTCTTTTTTAAATTTATTTGGAATAGAAAATAATTTTATTCTGGGACTAAGTCCATTTAGAATAATAAAAAAGTACTTAATTAAAGTATCGTATCTGGCCTAAATAAAAACAAACATAAAAAGTAAAAAATAAAGAAAAAAAAGTAAAGAGAATCTTAGTTAAACATACTATGTACAAAATAAAAAAAATTATATACAAAACACTTGAAACCATGCCAAGACACTTAAAACTATGTACAGTGGTTAAATATAGGTATACACTTAAAAACAAATAAATAAAAAATACATTATGGATGATAAATATTCAGGACGCAGTCTTTTTTAAATTTATTTAGAATAGAAAATAATTTTATTCTGGGACGAAGTCCATTTAGAATAATAAAAAAGTACATAATTAAAGTATCGTATCTGGCCTGAATAAAAAACAAACATAAAAAGTAAAAAATAAAGAAAAAAAAGTAAAGAAAATCTTAGTTAAACATATTATGTACAAAATAAAAAAAATCTATATAAAAAACATTTGAAACCATGCCAAGACACTTAAAACTATGTACAGTGGTAAAATATAAGTATACACTTAAAAAATAAAAATAAATAAAAAATACGTTATGGGTGATAAATATTCAGGAAGCAGTCTTTTTTAAATTTATTTAGAATAGAAAATAATTTTATTCTAGGACGAAGTCCATTTAGAATAATAAAAAAGTACATAATTGAAGTATCGTATCTGGCCTGAATAAAAAACAAACATAAAAAGTAAAAAATAAAGAAAAAAAGTAAAGAAAAAAAAGTAAAGAAAATCTTAGTTAAACATACTATGTACAAAATAAAAAAAATCTATATACAAAACACTTGAAACCATGCCAAGACACTTAAAACTATGTACAGTGGTAAAATATAAGTATACACTTCAAAAATAAAAAATACATTATGGGTGATAAATATTCAGGACGCAGTCTTTTTTAAATTTATTTAGAATAGAAAATAATTTTATTCTGGGACGAAGTCCATTTAGAATTATAAAAAAGTACAAAATTAAAGTATCGTATCTGGCCTAAATAAAAACAAACATAAAAAGTAAAAAATAAAGAAAAAAAAGTAAAGAAAATCTTAGTTAAACATACTATGTACAAAATAAAAAAAATCTCTACATCTACATATGTATACATCTGTACAGATACATCTACTGCTTCATCCTTTCACTCCTGATACTACCTACAAATATAAATTACACCATCTTTGTAGTGTTTACACAGCAGAGATTAACGCCGTAGCAATGAGTCTCCGATACGTCATGAAGAAGCCAGTTGCAAATGTGGTTGTGGTATCGGATTCCCTAAGCACCCTGAAAGCTATGAATAACATGTATCCAGACCATCCAGGGATACACTGCATTCTAAGTCTTATAAAAATTCTTCATGGAGTTGGAACAACGACACATTTTATCTGGTCGCCTGGCCGTATAGGAATTAAAGGAAATGAAATGGATGATAGAGCAGCAAAAGAAGCTCTTACTCTTCCAGGCCGCGGTAAAGTTTTTTTGACACCTTCTGAACTTGCACGACCTCTGAGAGAAACCATATCCCAAGAATGGCAAAGACGGTGGGACAACAGCGCACCTAGCAAATTAAAAACAATAAAGAAAGAGGTGCAACCGTGGACCAGCTCCAGACGCAGCAGTCGTAGAGAAGAGGTCGTCCTCAGGCGGCTGAGAATCGGACATACAAGACTGACTCACCTCCACCTCATAACAAAAGATTCTATCCCCAGATGTCAAAAGTGTAACCAATCACTTACTATAAAACATATTTTGGAAGAATGCCCTTTTTACACCGCAAGATCAAAAGATTTTGGAATACCCCAGAATATATCAGCATCCTTAGGAAATCAAGAAGAAATCGTTACCAAAGTCATTAAGTTCCTGGATAGTGAAAGACTTAAAAAACACATATGACAGGCTTATAATTAATGATCCTTTGCAGATTTACTATTATTTTTTTATTTATTAATTTTTTTTTATCTATATTTTTATTCTATTTTCTCTTATTATTATTTTTTTTTTATTAATTTTTTTTTCATTTCATTTTAAATTCATTTGTTTATTAATCTCAATTCATTTATTGATTCTACTGCTATTTTTTAAATTTTATTTATTTATACATTTTTATACATCTTATTACCTATAAATGTCTATTATTATCCTTATTTATTTATTTTATTCTATCAATCCATTTCTTTATTTATTTTATTTTTATTTTTATTTTTTTTTTATTATGTTTTTTTATTTTTTTTCTTCTTTCTTTTTTTGTACCAACCATCCAAATAGTATTAAATGCTGTTATTTAGTTGATCGGGCGCTTATGACCTGGATGTTTTGCGCCTAGACATCGAAACAAACAAATAAACAAAAGAAGCTATATACAAAGCACTTGAAACCATGCCAAGACACTTAAAACTATGTACAGTGGTAAAATA